ATCTTGACTCACCACAACCTCTGCCTCCTGGATTCAAGCAGTTCTCCTGCCTCAGCCTCCCAAGTAGCTGAGATTACAGGCATGCGCCACCATGCCTGGCTAATTTTGTATTTTAAGTAGGGACGGAGTTTCTCCATGTTGGTCAGGCTGGTGTCGAACTCTCGACCTTAGGTGATCCACCCACCCCCGTTTCCCAAAGTGCTGGGATTACAGGCGTGAGCCACTGCGCCCAGCCTCAGCTTCTATGAGATCAATTTTTTTAGATTCCACATATGAGTGAGACCATGTTGTGTTTGTCTTTCTGTGCCTTGCTTATTTCATTTAACATAATGTCCACTGGGTTCATTCCTGTTGTTGCAAATGGCAGGATTGTCTTCTTTTTTATGGCTGAGTAGTATCCCATTGTGTATATGTGTGTATGTATATACATATTTATCCTTTGATGGACAGTTAGATTAATTTTATGTCTTGCCTATTTCAAGTACTGCTGCAGTAAACATGGGAGTGCAGATATCTCTTCACATACTGATTTCATTTCCTTAGGATATATGCCCAGTAGTGGAATTGGTGGATCATATAGTAGTTCCATTTTTAATGTTTTGGGGAGCCTCCATATTGTTTTCCTTTATGGCTGTACTAATTTTCATTAACACCAACAGTATGTAAAGATTCCCCTTTCTCCACATTCTCACTAGCTTATCTTTTGCCTTTTTTGATAATAGCCATTCTAACTGGGGTGAAGTGCTTTCTCATTGTGGTTTTGATTTGCATTTTCCTGATTAGTGATGTTGAGCATTTTTTTCTTACACTTTTTGACTATGTGTCTTCTTTTGAAGAACATCTATTCAGGGCTTTTGCCCATTGTTGAATTGGATTATTATTATTATTATTTTTGTGCTATTGAGTTGATTCCTTATCCTTTTTAAATGTTAGCCCCTTGTCAGATGTATAGTGACATGCAGAGGAATGAAACTAGAACCTTGTTTCTCACCATATAGAACAATCATCTCAAAGTGGGATTAGAGAATTAAATATAAAACCTAAAACTGTGAACCTACTATAGAAAGAAAACATAGGGGAAATGCTTCATGACATCAGTCTGGGCAAAGACTTTTGAGTATGACCTCTAAAGCACAGGCAACGAAAGCAAAAATAGCAAATGGCATTATTGTTATTTTCTTAATAAAAAATTGTATTAGAAGCATTCAGAATTTTAACAAAACAGCTGCAGCTTTTTGTTTTTGCAGTTACAGAGTGGTATTTAGTTTAGTTAACAGAACAATTATTTTATGTAAACTGCATAGAGACAACAACTGAAGATGAAACTACCATCCCCATATGTAACTGATTTGTGCTGTGCACCAAGTACCTTTAAATTTCCATGCCATTTTATAACCCTCATACTATACCAAGAAGGTTAGTGGCTATTGAAAATACCGCCAGGACAGGACTATCTAAAGACATGTTTGGTAGCGTATTAACTGTACAAAAAAAGACACTGTACACTTTGAAAACAAAAATATACAGCCTTACATTTCGATTTTTTCTTCCAAAAAAAAAAAAAAAAATCCTGCTGGAACCAACTGATTTGTCATCATCATGTTTATCTTTATTTTCCTGCTCTTCCTCATTCTCTTCATTTTCCTCATCTTCATTCTTTTTCTTGCTTTTTTTAAATTCCAGCCTTGATGACTCCTGTTTCTTTTCGCATCAGGCTTTCCTTTAGCTTGGTATGCAGCAATATCCTTCTTGTATTTTTCCTTCAGCTTCACAACCATCTTTCCGTAAGGTTGCTTGTCCTCTGCAGCAATGTCATCTGCATCTCTCCCAGTTTCTTTGCAATATATCCAGTGGATAGGCCAGGATGTTTACCTTTAATTTTTGGCCCATACTCAGAAAGGAACAAGAAAAAGACCAAACAAAGTAGGCCCCTTGGGTGTATTGGGATCCTTGAACTTCTATTTTGTTTTCCCTTTAGGAGGAATGTAGGTTTTCATTTCTCTTTCATAATGGGCCAGGTTTGTCTTTCCCTGTCTTCACATTTTCCCTTCTCTTGAGCAAACATGGTTTTCCACCTCTTTGAGCACTTCTTAGAAGACCCTTAGAAGCTGACTGAAGCATCTGGGTGCTGCTGCTTGTGCTCCTCCTGGCAAGTTTGCACAAAGAATGTGTATGATGACATTTTATCTCTTGACTTCTTTGGATTTTTGCCCATATTCAGTTATTTTTCCTCAGCAAGGCATAGAGCTGCTCAGTGCCTCTCTGGCTCACACTTGCCCTGGTGTTGTTTCTGTGGAGCTCAGTGTATGCTGACACATGGGATTACATCAAACGGAGATGCTTCTGTGTGGCAAGGGAAACAGCCAACAGAGTGAAGAGACGACCTATATAATGGGAGAAAATATTTGTAAACTATACGTCTAACAAGGGGTTAATATTTTCATTCTTTCTGAATCAATAATTTATAATAAGTTTTTTTCTTTCATTTTTATGTGGCTTTTCCTAGACCTTGGATTGTAACATGTAGTTCCTGCTATGTGGCTTTCTGCATGTTTATAATTTTAATAGTTTCTCTTGGAGCTTCGCAGCCTGTTTCCCCACCCTTCACCCCAGTTTTGACTAGAAATCTATCTCAGCTCTTACTCTTTATCCCATTGTGTCCACTCTTGCTCGTTTTACTTGCTTTGGTATCTAACCACCTTTTCTGTAGAGATACCTTTTGACCACTTCTCCATCTCTTTTGCCCTCCTACTTCTCATTACCTTTAACTAAAACTCTGGATTGGATGTCTCATGTTGAACACAGTGAAACTGACTTCCTTATCTTTCTCCCTAACTCCTCCTTCATACTTACCTTTGTAGTCACTGGGGAAGGGATAGTCATAAAGCCTGGCAGTGAAAGAGATTGAATGTGGACTGACCTTTAACCCATTGTTCCCCAGCCCCACAGTTCCTCTCCCACTAGTGTGAAACCATACAGCTCACTTGTTATTCTTCATCCTTCTTTTCTCCATTCTTACGGATAAATGTCTAACTATAGTATGTACGAGCTGCTGTAACCTTTTGAAAAGTAGCTGCGTATTCCCTCACACATCTCTGCATCTTCAAAGATATTTCTTAAGTTATTTTATTACTTTCCTGGAAAAAAATCACCTAAGGATAAGCAGTTCAGTGTAAAATTTTGAAAAGTTGTGAAAATTTTGTATAGGTAAAGGATCAAAGCACATAGTGACTAGTGTTCTGGTAATGCATGACAGTAACAACTGAGCATCTGAAAGGTCAGAATTCCTGTTTACTGTGATGGGAGATACCATGGGGTGAGCATATTTGGCAGAGCTCAGGTAGGGTAGAGATGGGAATTCATTTTGGATGTGATAAGTTTGAGGTGTTTATTGGACCACCAAGTAGATTTGGTTATTATATATCAATAGTCTTTTTTAATCTGGAAGAATCCCCCTCCATTGATAGTACTTTTTTGAAGAGTTCAGGTCTGTTGTCTAATAGAATGTCTGACATTCTGGATTTGTTTGATTGTTTTCTAGTAATTGCTTAAGGTGAAACATGCTTTTGACAAGAATATAACGTAGGTGGCGTTGTATATGTTTTATTGCATCACATAGGAGGCATATCTTGTCAGCTCGCATTAGTGCTGTTTGATCATTTGGTTAAGCTTGTGCCACCACATCTCTCCATTGTTAAGGTATTTTACCCTATTTAATATTAGTAAGTAGGCTGGGTGTGGTCGCGCCTGTAATCCCAGTACTTTGAGAGGCAGAGATGGGTGGATCACATGAGCCCAGGAGTTTAAGACCAACCTGGGCAACATGGTGGAACCTCATCTTTAAAAAAATACAAAAATTAGTAGGGTGTGGTGGTGTGCAACTGCAGTTCCGCTACTCAGGAGGCTGAGGTGGGAAAATTACTTGAGCCCAGGAGGTGGAGCTTGCAGTGACCCACGATTGTACGGCTGCACTCCAGCCTCTGTGACAGGGTGAGACTGTGTCTCAAAAATAAATAGCCGGGTGCGGTGGCTCATGCCTATAATCCCAGCACTTTGGGAGGCTGAGGCAGGCCGATCACCTGAGGTCAGGAGTTTGAGACCAGCCTGGCCAACATGGTGAAACCCCATCTCTCATAAAAATGCAAAAATTAGCTAGGCATGGTGGCTCATACCTGTAATCCCAGCTACTTGGGAGGTTGAGGCAGAAGAATTGCTCGAACCCGGGAGGCGGAGCCTGCAGTGAGCCAAGATCGTGCCATTGCACTCCAGCCTGTGTAACAGAGACTCTTGTCTCAAAAAATAAATTAATTAAGATAAAAAAATAAAATAATTAGAAAGTAATCAGGGGACAAATGTGTTAGGACACCTAATAACTTTTACCATATGTTTTTGTTCTCTTTACCCATTCAATACATACACTTGAAAAACAGTTCTTTCATCTTAACAGTTTTATAGTAGAAGAGTTGTTTCTTATATGATCAGAAGTTTAGAAAGATGCTTGTCAGAATGAAAAATAAGGGAAAAAATGAAATTGAGACAGTATGGAAGTACAGTGGGAGAGGGCAGTGGTAAAGCCAGCCTCAGTGGCTGTTGGTGGTTGTGTTTGCATGTGTTTGGAGGGTGGTGCTGACCACAATCTTGATGTATAAAACTTTCCTGGTTCCTTATGGCTGTTATAAAAAAAGTTTTGCTTTTAAAAATGTAAGCAGCATTATATTCTTAGTCTTACTTCAGCGATCTTGGTTTGAGTTAATGAACTTTTTTTTTTTTTTTTTTTTTTTTACAGATTTAAATTGATACTGGTGTACATCTTCTTGTTCTAAGGTAATTTTTTAGTTTTTAAAACTGTATTGTATTAAATTTATTAGTCAAGTAGTTTGTCTAGAAAGTAAATTTCAGTTACTACAATTGTATCAGTGACTGACTGACCACCTGGCCTTATAGGCTTTTCGTCATAGAGAAGATTGTTATCCTTAGGAGAATGATGGTTACTACACCGGTAGTGTACAATAATATGCTCAGTACTTGTTCGCTATAGAAAATTAGTAGATTGTTATGGAACCTTGGGTTTACACATTTTTGGTAAATCTCAGTTTGCCTTAGGATCCTTGATCATTGGGTTGAATGTATTAGTTTCCTAGGGCTGCTGTAACAAATACTACAAACTGGGGTGCTTAAACAGCAGACATATATTTTTATTCTCTCACTGGTCTGGAGGCTAGAAGTCCAAAATCAGTTTTGGCAGGGCCATGCTCCCTCGGAAGGCTCGGGGGGAGAATCCTGCTTTCCTCACCCCTGCCTGGCTGCTGCTGGTTGCCAGCAGTCCTTGGTGTTCCTTGGCTTTTAGCTGCTTCACTCCACTCCAGTTTCTGCCTTTCTCTTCAGATGGTCTTCTCCCTCTGTAGCTTTCCTCTCTGTAAATCTCCTTCTCCCTTTTTTCTTCTTTATTTTGAGACAAAGTCTCACTCTGTCACCCAGGTTGGAGTGCAGTGGCGGGATCTTGGCCCACCACAACCTCAAACTCCTGGGCCCAGGAGATCCTTCCACCTCGGCTTCCCAAGTAGCTGGGACTATAGGTGCATGACATCACACCCAGCTAATTTTTGTAATTCATGTAGAGGCAGGGTTTCGCCATGTTGGCCAGGCTGGTCTCAAACTCCTGGGCTCAAGCCGTCCACCTGCCTCAGCCTCCCAAAGTGTTGGGATTACAGGTGTAAACCACTGTGCCCTTAATCTCCCTCTCCTTATAAAGGCACCAGTCATTGGATTTGGGGGCCCACCCTAATCAAGTATGACCTTGTCTTAACTTGGTTACATCTGCAAAGACCCTCTTTACAAATAAAGTCACAGATCCTGGGGTTAGGACTTGAACTATCTTTTGGGGGAACACAATTCATCCCCAACAGGTGGGAACTGGCTCATGCTGTAGTGATATGAGGATGCAGTGATCATTTAAACCCATAATGCTGTGTTCTAGGAGGTACTAAAATATTTTGGAATTGGTATAGAAATGAAAGTAAATGCATATTAGTTGTTATTAGTGAACTTTTCTAAGAAGGTGAAGGAGGTTTGAGGGAGTCATGAAAGGAAGGAAAGTTTTTCTCAACTCTTGTGTCTACCTAATTAGTGTATATTTACTGTTCCAGTTATTGGCTTTTGTTTTGGTCATAAGTGACTGAAAAATGTAGATTACAGTTAGAATGAAAGTGTTTTTAATGTGGCAGTGCATATGATATTAGTCACATGTTTGCTTTTCGGGGTTTGAGATTTGAAGTAATGTTCTTTAAATGGCCTATACTGTATGATGCTTGTGAGTAAATACCAAATCCAGATTGCATTAACTTTTTTCTTCATTCTCTTCCTCCGTTTAAATAAAACAGCTATATTCATCCAACAAGTCATAAAGCCATAATGTGGTATAACATCCTTTTTGAGAGGTGAATATTATTGAATGAAAATGGCTGACAGAAGTGGGAAGATTATTCCAGGACAAGTGTATATTGAGGTGGAATATGATTATGAATATGAAGCAAAGGATAGAAAGATTGTGATAAAACAAGGGGAGCGGTACATCTTGGTGAAAAAGACCAATGATGACTGGTGGCAAGTCAAGCCGGATGAAAACTCCAAAGCGTTTTATGTGCCAGCCCAGTATGTGAAAGAGGTCACGCGCAAAGCTCTAATGCCACCTGTTAAGCAGGTAGCTGGTCTACCAAATAACTCCACGAAAATAATGCAGAGTTTGCATCTTCAGAGATCAACAGAAAATGTGAACAAATTGCCTGAGCTTTCAAGTTTCGGAAAGCCGTCGTCGTCTGTTCAAGGAACAGGTCTTACTCGTGATGCCAATCAGAATTTTGGACCCAGTTATAATCCAGGTCATACTGTCAACCTAAGCCTGGACCTGACCCATAATAACGGAAAGTTTAACAATGACTCACATTCTCCTAAAGTTTCCAGCCAGAATAGGACACGCTTATTTGGTCATTTTCCCGGTCCAGAGTTCTTGGATGTAGAGAAAACTAGCTTCTCCCAGGAACAATCTTGTGATTCCGCAGGAGAAGGCTCTGAAAGAATACATCAAGATTCTGAATCTGGTGATGAACTTAGCAGCAGCTCCACTGAACAGATAAGGGTAAGATTAAAAATAGAATGAGGAAACACTTGTACCACCCTAGTGAAAATATTATAGTTTTTCTTTTAATTGAAGTATTTATAAGAGTTAAGACTTGTTTTGCTTTGTATTTTCAGAGTACATGGGTTCTATCCTGATTTAAAGATCTAGAAAATATGTGAAATAACTTGTGGAGTTCATAAAGGGTCACTTTTTGGTTTTCATAATTATTCTTATACCATAACAGGACTAGATCTACTTTAAGTGTGGAAACTTCTTTTTCCCTTTTCTCTATTGATTATGTATAAGGCAGAGGGAATTTACTTAATTTACTCAGTGATGATATTTCTTCTAATAGAAAAAATTTTTACTGTTTTCTACCTGTACCCATTTTGACTTGTTTCCAAGAAGTCTTCAGGTAATAGTTGGTTATCTGAGGAAAGATGTCATTGGAATATTAACTGCTAACTTTTGTCTTAAGTGTCTTAAGTATCCACAGTTGATTTCACTGAATATTAGCCTGGAAAAATTTTTCTGTGTTCCTGGTTCGTTTTTTTTTTTTTTTTAAAGACAAGGTCTTGCTCTGTCGCCCAGGCTGTAATGCAGTGGAACAGTCATGGGTCACTGCAGCCTCGACCTCCTGGGCTCAAGCGATCTTCTCACCTCAGCTTCCCCAGTAGCTGGCACTACAGGTGTGTGCTGCCACACCCAGCTAATTAAAAAAAATTTTTTTTTTTAGAGACAGGGTCACACTATGTTGCCCAACCTGGTCACTTCCTGGCTCAAGTGATCCTTCTTTCGTGGACTCCCAGAGAGCTGGGATTACAGGTGTGTGCCACTGTACCTGGCTTTTTGTTTTTCTTTTTAAACCTTTCTTTCTTTTTTTTTTTTTTTTTGTTGAGACGGAGTCTGGCTCTGTCGCCCAGGCTGGAGTGCAGTGGCCGGATCTCAGCTCACTGCAAGCTCCGCCTCCCGGGTTCACGCCATTCTACTGCCTCAGCCTCCCGAGTAGCTGGGACTACAGGCGCCCGCCACCTCGCCCGGCTAGTTTTTTGTATTTTTTTAGTAGAGACGGGGTTTCACCGTGTTAGCCAGGATGGTCTCGATCTCCCGACCTCGTGATCCGCCCGTCTCGGCCTCCCAAAGTGCTGGGATTACAGGCTTGAGCCACCGCGCCCGGCCTAAACCTTTCTTTTGAGATTAGATCTATGTCATTTTGTTTCTCGAGTGAAGACATTTTAAAAGTACGTACATGAAATTGAAACTTGAATATATTTTGGAAAGTGTAACTTTAAGTAAATTTAAAAATTATTGAGTTTTTGGCCTGAAGCTCTGTTGTAAGATTATTCATCAAGTCTGTGAATAATTGTGAGGTGTGCCCTTAGGTGTGGTCTGATTGTTATGGAAGTACATTCTTTCTGTAGGTTGTAATTTTTCTTGTGACATTTTGGAGTGGAAATAGGAAAAAGGGAAGACTCTAGAAAAACTTCTAGTGTTGGAGATCAAGGAAGCTACATGACGTAGCTCTGTCAGTTTATCATCGTGTGTCTTAGTAAGTTTTTGTTCAGTCTTTATGTGATACTCTGACATAGAATATGTAGTCTTTCCTGGAATTTTTCTATATATAGCTCCTCAGGAAACTAATGGGCCTTAGGAAAGACACAGGATTCCATCCAGCCATTACCACAATTTCACACTTCAAATTACATTTTATATTTATGTACACATGCAATCCTATGTTTTTTTCATTACAGTCATCTTAAGTTCACTGCCCTGGAGTTCCATGGCTCCTAATCTCTCTTGGGGCCTTAACACTGTTTGGAAATCCTATTAGATTTCTCCAGTCAGCCCTCTTCCTAACTCTCCATGGCAGCTGTTTCAGACCTTCTCCATTTTCGTTACTTCTCTGATTCACTTACTTTCCCCTGCTTTCATGAGAAGATAACCTTGCCTTCCACTTTACAGCAAATAAGAAAGCCATGGGATGGAAACTACTTCAGCTTTGGGGAGCACGTGGTTCATAGTACTGGCTTTAGATTGGAATCTGGTTCTATATCACTTGCCAGCTGTGTGATAATTGGGGAAAATTACTGAACCTCTCTGTGTTTTAGTTTCTTCATTTAAAAATGGGAGTCACAGTGTTCTTGAGGCACATAATACATGCATTATGTATCTATTGATGTTTAATAAACTACCCCCAATTCAAGTGGCTTAACATAGTAAACATTACCACTTGGTTCCTGTGAGTCACTAAATCAGAAGCAGCTTAATTGGGTGATTCTGAAGGCTAGGGGTGTCTCCTGAGGTTGGGGCTGGAGGGGCTGCTTCTGAAGATGGCTCACTCATGTGGGACTGGTTGGGCCTCTTCATAACTGCTTGTGTGTTGTTTCTAGTTTTCTTCAGATGGAGCAGAGAGAACGTGGTAGACACTGCACTGTCCTTTAGTCCTCATCTTTGAAATTGCTCACTGTCATATCCTATTGATTGTGCAGTTCAGCCCTGTTCTGTGTGGGAGGAGACTGTACAGGGGTGTGCATATCAGGATTTGAGAATCATTGAGGAGCCTCCTTGGAGACTGACTATAAGTATGCCATAAAATATAGCTGCTATTATTATTGTTGTTACTTCTGTTATTATTTCCACCATCAGATCTATAAATACACTTGTATCAGTAGTCCTCTTTTCCCCCAGTACAATATAAGTGTTTCCTGTGCAGTCAAAGAGCATTCTCTTCATATTCACTCTTCCCACATTTCACACACCTTATGCCAAAGATTATAGTATTGTGCTCATATGGTTTTAAACTTGTTGTTTGTCAACTGTTTTCAGCATTTACATTTGCTCATGTTTTTCTCATCTTAGTAAAGCTCTTCTTCAACTCCACCTTCCCCTCAGAGCATCTTTTATCTTCCTTTACCTTTATTGGCGACCCCCGGAAAGACTGATATGTATTTGCTTTTCTGCACTTCCTGATTTCCCACTCACTTGGTAACCTTTCCAGTGTGGTTTCTGGCTCCACCACACCACCCAAACTGTTTCTGCTAAAGATACTCATGGTTTCATTGTTGATACATTTACAAGGTGGTTAAAAGAATTTTAGTGTGTGCCTGTAGTTCCAGCTATTCAGGAGGCTGAGGTGGGAGGATCACTTGAGGCCAGGAGTTTGGGACCAGCCTGAGTGATATAGTGAGACCTCATCTCTAAAAAACAAAAACCAAAAAACCCCACAAAATTTTATACATAATTAATACAATTATCACAGCCAACAAGATTAATAATCAGATGCCAAATTTAAATAATTTTTTATTCAGGCACAGCAAGGGTGTAAATATTACTAATTTAAGTGTATGACTTGATGAATTTTTACTTATGTATACACTCTGTAACCAGTCTCGAGCCCCTTCCCTGTCAGTATCCACACCCTCAGCTCCTATGTCTTTCTTAGGAGGTTTTCATTTTTCTGACTTATATCACTACTGATCAGTCTTCTTTAATTAAACTTTTCATTTTGAGATAATTGTAGATTCATAAGCAGTTGTAAGAAATAATTTGGAGGCCGGGCATGGTGGCACATGCTTGTAATCCCAGCACTTTTGAGAGGCCGAGGTGGGAGGATCACCTGGGCCCAGGAGTTTGAAACTAAATTGGGAAACATGGCGAAACCGTCTCCACAAAAAATACAAAAATTAATTGGGTGTGGTGGCATGTGCCTGTAGTCCTGGCTACTTGGGAGGCTTAGGTGGGAGGATCATTGGAGCCCAGGAGGCAGAGGTTGCAGTGACCTGAGATTGCACTGTTGCACTCCAGCTTGGGCAACAGAGTGAGACCCTGTCTCAAAATAATAATAATTTGGACAGGTCTCTTGTACCCTCTATCCGGTTACTTTTAATGGTAACATCTGGCAAAACTATACTGTAATGTCACAATCAGGGGTTTCATGTTGGTACAGTTAATATGCTGAGCATTTCCATCACCACAGGAATCCCGTATGTTGCCCTTTTATAACCATAACCAATTCCCTCCCACCTTAACTCTCCTTCACCCTGATCACCACTCATCTGTTTTCCATTGCTATAATTTTGTCATTTGAAGAATTTTATATAAATGGAATCCATACCTTTGGAGATTGGCCTTTCTTTCAGCATAACTCTGTAGATTGGTCCAGGCTGCTGTGTATTATCAGTAGTTTGTTCTTTTTGTTGCTGAGTAGTGTTCTATGCTATGGATGTAGCATAGTTTATTTAACCATTTATCCATAAAAGAATGTCTAGGTTGTTTCCAGTTTTTGGCTGTTGCAAACAAAACTGCTATAAACATTTCGGTACAGGTTTTTATGTGTATATAACTTTTCATTTCTTTGGGGTAAATGCCCACAAGTATAATTGCTGTTCATAAAGTAGTTGCATGGTTAGTTTTTAGGAAATAATCCAAGTGTTTTTACAGAGTGACTGTATCATTTTAAATTCCCACCAGCAATGTATGAGTATCCGGTTCCTCTGTGTGCTCACCAGCATTTGGTGTTGTCACTATTTTTTTATTTTAGCCATTCTGATAGGTGAGTAATGATGCCTCATTTTGATTTTGATGTACATTTCTCTAATGGCTACTGACATTGAATATGTTTTCATGTGTTTATTTGCCATTGGTAAATCCTCTTCATTGAAATGTTTCTGCATGTCTTTTGCCCATTTTCTAATTGGATTTTTTTTTACTGTTGAATTTTGATAGCTTTTTTTTTTTGTACATAGTTTAGATACTGGCCATTTGCCAAATATATGGTTTGCAGATATTTTCTCCCAGCATGTAGCTTGTCTTTTCATCCTTTTAACAGTGTCTTTGCAGAGCACAAGTTTTTAACTTTGATGAAGTCTTGGTTATTGGTTTTTCCTTGTGTGGAATCATGGTTTTGTGTTAAGTCTAAGAACTAGTTTTAACTTTGTTGAAGTCCAGTTCATCAGTTTTTCCTTTTATAGATCATGCTTTTATATCAAGTATAAGAACTCTAGCTATATTAGGCTTCT